TATACTCTGACCATGTTAGCAGAGGCTAACAAAAGCTAAGTGGATAAAGGCAAATATCTCTTCAATGGTAGTTTTTATACTCTGACCATGTTAGCAGAGGCTAACAAAAGCTAAGTGGATAATAGATTTTAAGTTCCGGAGATCGTGATGCCTGTCTCTTCTTTTATAGCTACGCCTGGAACTTGTATTTTTAGGATAGTTCGCAATATATATATATATATATATCCCATTTCATTTTTGGGGGGCCCTTGGACGCTAATAATCTTTTTCCCATTTCTACTGCCACGGATAGACTGAGAAATGCCGGAAAGTGTCTGGAGCATCTAGGAGTTCTAGACTGGGTTAATTCAATGCAAGCTTTCTCAGATCCATGCTTCAGTCTTTCGGTACAGATGGGCTTCATATGAGAGTTGGGGAAACCCAATGAATGAACATGATCATTCACTGGTTGCTCCCTGAATTGTAGCAAAGTCTTGTGTCTCTGCAAAGAGATTCCTATCTCTGTCCCTTCTAATTCTCTTAAAAGGGCCAGCTCTAAAGATTTGCCTCCTTTGTATTCCTTTGGGGACGCTGTTTCCCCACCTCAAAGAGCTGTTAAAAAAAATAACTTCGATTCCTATTTTAAAAACAATCAGCATTCTCTAGCACTACATGCCAATTAGGTTCAACTTGCATCAATACGTGAGCTGGGCGCAGAAGAGAGCTTGGCACCCCAAAAGCTCTTGATTTTGGGGGGGGACAGAGCTGTTGTCTGCTGAGTGCAACTGGCAATTCAAGTTTTCCTAACAATACACAAGTTATTAAATTTTAAGTAACCAGAGACACGTACGTCTGCAACAATTAAAATTCTCCGAGATTAAAAAAAAACACAGACTCCCCCTTTACACACATATACCCTTCCTCTTTTTCCCCTGCTTCCATTCCACCCTCCCACCCCTTCTGCTTCCAATGGTTCCGTTTTGCAGGAGTATCTGCATTATAGGTTATTTCTCTGCAGCGCCTCACAGAGGTTCTGGTTGGCATCGGGCTCTTCAATCATCTCCTCCACCGTCTCCCATTCTCCAGACCTGCTGGACCTTTTAATGGCATCTACCACACTTTGCATATAGAGGCCATCTTCAAAAGAAGCTGCCATTGCCACCGGTTTGGGATCCCAGGTCCTCTGGTCCTCCTGATCCTGGAAGGAAAGGCGGAGAGCTTGCACCAAGTAGACCATTCCTTTGAGGTACAGAAGAGGGATGTCCTTGAATTCTTTTTCGGACAGCTCCGCATGGACATTCAGGGAGTCCTTAAATAATAGCTCTTCCTGGGGAGCTGCGTTCTTCTGTCCATATAAATCCATCCCGCGAGCAATAAGGCGGCCAGCTGAGCCTACGATCATGACCTCGTGAACAAAGGACCCGGGCATGTTGAAGTTTAGCGTCACTGTGCTACAGATGCCTCCCGCCATCAGCATCTGGAAGAAGCAGAAGTCATCACTGGTGACGTGGCGGATGCCGCTGATGGCCGAGTTCTGCTTGACGAATGTTTTCAGCAGCCCGTGGACCTTCTCGGCCTTTCGGCTCGTGAGATGGGTCAGCAGGTCTATAATGTAAGTGCCCATCGTGTGCAGGCCGCCCCCGCCCATCAGCTCGTCGCAAATCCAGTTGTACTTCTGGCTGAGGAGGCTGCCCCAGTACACTCGCACGTCACAGACCAGGATGCTGCCGACATAGTGTTCGTCGAGTAACTGCTTCATTCTGACAAACGCGGGTAGAAAGCGCAGAGCGTTGCCCACGATGCTCATGAGCTTGGGGTAATACCTAGCAGCCGTGACCATCCTAAAAGCATCGAGAGAGGTAGCGGCTTTCTCGCAGATTACGTTCTTTCCAATTCCTGCAAAAAAAAAGGACAGCATTTCAATTTGGGGACTTTCTATTCAACCGTGGCACGACAAAACCGCGCTCGACTAANAGATTTGACGAACTGGTTCTACCGAATAGGTGCGAACTGGTAGGAACCCACCTCTGTCCATATTGATCCTCTGTTTTCTGTTGCAGTTGCAGAAGAGAAAGGCAAGGAACTGAGGAATCTGCCTAATGCCACATCTGGAGCCGTAGTGAAAACAGAGGTGGATAAGTCTACTCAAGTGGACATTGATAAGATGCTCAGCGTCTGTGCATCTCACCTAGTCCCACCACTGTCACCGCAGAACAAATAATCCTATCTGATAGGAGGCCAAGCTCTTCCCTCAAGAGATCAACAGTGCTCCCCCCCGCCCCAAAGAAGCTGGAAGATGCCTCCTTGAAGGCCATCGGTGTGTGATTCTTTTAAGCTTAGTTCATTAGAGTCAGGTGTCAAAAGTATTTGTCTTGTTCCTTGCTGTAAAATAGAGAGAGAGAAATGGGACCAGTCTAAGCAGGAATGGAATTGCTTTTGTCTAAAGCCCGTAAACCAGTGATCAAATGAGTGTTAGAAAAGAGAGAGAGAAGTATAGTCCATTCATCTTAAGATCCTCCTTGATATTTCTGAGTAATTACAACCAATGACCACTCCTCCACGCTCTTCCCATATTTTAAGTCGGGTTTCTCCCACATTTTATTCCCATAACAGGGAATAAAGGTAGTTAGTCCCAGCAAGGATAGTAACTTATTTATTTGTATCTACTTCTTCCGGATGACACCTTAATTTCTATGCATTTTTTAATAGCAGCTGGGAAGGACTTTGTCCATCCAACCTAGCTTTGGGATTCTCCAAAAGATTGGGCTAATGTTTCCAGAACATCACTAGATGGCATGGCTATTCTTACGTATCTTTTGCAGCCTCGTCAAGTGCCTATTATTTATACTCTACTCTTTACAAAGTAAAAAAGACACACATACAAAAGGGGGGTTGCTTTGTTGGGCTACATATCCCAAGTAACGCCCCAAAGAACAGAAATTGTTATTTCTAGCCTTGAATCCTAATGTGATCTTACAGAGGGAATTAAGGAAGAAAAGGATATTCTGATTCGCTGAAAATAAACAAGGAAAGATGACTTAAAAATATGGGAAGAGGGTGGTGGAGTACATTGTCCTTTGCCAATAAAAACGTATTTACTCAAAGGAAACTTCGGGTGAAATTATTTTCTCCACTTTCCCATCACTGGATTGCAAATACAGGCCCCCGAAAGATCTCGGAGGAATCCTGAATTTTTTAGAGAGAATTCCATCACCAGCATTTTTTCTAGATCAAACAAGATTCCTTAATGCTGAAGTACAAAGGCATTGAGCGTTCTTACTTAATCAGATGGTTTGCGTTAAAAGGAAGAAGTATGACTTCAGGAAAATCAGTTCTTTTGACTACGGCAAAATATAAACAGGTTACCACCTGGAGCTGTGTATATATTTTGCACATTTGCAAGCAATACAATTTAATGTATTATTTTGACAGAGGCTATCAGCTTGTATCTGAAAAAAAATAAAAATAAAATCCTAAGGCTCCTACTATGAAAGAACATAAACAGGATATGCTTTAAAAATTCAGAAGCCAGACCTCTGAATTCCTGGGATCAAATCTTATGTTCCTGCAGCGGTTCATCTTCTTCTATATATATAAAAATACCTCTCTTTCTCTCTCCCCCCACCCTCTCTGTGTATGTGTATGTG